GAATAAATGAACTTATTTATACATACATATGACACTCACCAATATATAAGAGTTTAGAAGGATATCCTAATCAAAGATTATTTGGAGGGAGGTTTGAAAATGCTTGATTTGAATATGTTCATTACAGCCCTTAAATCAACATTGATTAGAAGGATTTTGCAGAGAGATAGTAAATGGCAAAATATTTTCATGTCAAATATAGATAAAAAAAAGTTGTTTAGTTGTGGTGTTGATTATATTAGACAACTTTATATGACAGTTAACAACCATTTTTGGAAAGATGTACTAAGATCCTGGGAAATGATTATTCAAAAAGAAAGAAACTTGACTTATGATTCATTTTTATCAAATCCATTATGGCTAAATAATAATATTAAGATTGGTCATAAATCAGTAATTTATCAAGAATGGTTTAAAAGTGGTATTAGATTTGTATATGATATAGTTGACCAAGATGGATCGTATATTTCATTTGACCAATTTAAGCAAAACTATTACTGTAACATTAACACAGATCTTCTTAAATTTAACAGTGTTATTTCGGCAGTGAAAGAGGCATCAAAATCTTTCACTAAAGGATCTTACAAATTATTTTGTCCTTTTATACCATCATGTCTGCAAGTATTTTTAAAACATTGTAAAGGATCAAAAGATATGTATTCTGTACTGACAAGAAATAATGTTACTCCTACTGGACAGCTTAAGTGGGTTAAAATTTTAGGTGAACAGAATCTGAACTGGAAAAAGATTTTCAGACTGCCTTTTGCTGTTACAAAAAATAGTAAATTACAGTGGTTGCAATATAGGATTAACCATTGCATTATTGCAACAAATCAGTATTTAGTTAAAATAAAATTGACCGATGATCCTTTATGTACATTTTGTAAATCAAAGAACGAGTCTATAGAACACCTATTTTGGAATTGCAATACTGTACAAAATTTTCTACAAGATATTGATAACTGGTTCTTTTCTGGTGGAATAAGTCTTCCAATGAATAAATTAAACTTTCTATTTGGAGACTTATCCAAGATATTCCCCAACAACCCATACAACATGATTTTTCTTTATATTAAACAATATGTGTATAATTCTAGATGCTTTAAAAAGAATCTCTCATTGCAAGCAGCTATAATTAAGCTGAAAGATATGTATAAATTAGAGAGTATGATAGCTGTAAAAAATAAAAAGATAACTGAATTTGACAATGTATGGAATGTTTTTGAAAAACTTTTATTGAATACCAGCTAATGTCTATTTTTGTTACAATAACTTATGACTATTTAATTATAATATATTTTAAAGAAAATATTATTGTCATGTTATGTACTTGATCTGTGTTGATGGCTGTTACGAAAGAAATATGTCTAGTTAATTTTGCAAATATTTTTCAACATAAATATTTGATATTTAAAATATAGATAGGGATGTAACTGGATAATCCTTTTGTTTTCTTATTTTTTTTTTTTTCCTTCTTCTTTACTCTTAACTCAAATCTGTTAATTATCATTATTTATTTATTTATTCATTTATTTATTTATTTATTCATTTATTAATTTTTATATTTTTTTTTTTTTTTTTTTTTTTTTTTTTATTATCTTTTCAATAGAAAATGTAAAATATTTCCAATTAAGATGTATTTATAATAATGACATTGTATATATCTTATATGTATTATATTGTATGTATGTCATGTATATGTTGTAATTGTTGGAAATAAAAAAAAAAAAAAAAAAAAAAAAGGGATGCTTCCCAAATTTGAACTTGATCTGAGTTTTGTGGTAATAAGCATTGTGTGTAAGTCTCATAACATTTGGTTGAGGCTAACTTAAGTAGAGAACAGAAACTAAAAATTCAGCAATTTTTCTATTTGTAAACACGCATAACTCTAGAACGGTTGTGTATAAGTTTTACAACATTTGGTTGAGACAAACTAAAAAATTCAGCAATTTTTATGTTTATAAAGGGATATAACTCAAGAATGGTAAAAGTGTTGCCACCAATTTTCATACTTAATCTGTATTATGTTGTAATAAGCATTGTGTATAAGTTTCATAACATTTGGTTGAGGCAAACTAAAGTTAGAAAATGGAAACAAAAAAATTGTACTTGATCTTAGTTTTGTGGTAATGAATATTTTATTGTGTATAGGTTTCATAATGTTTGGTTGAGGCAAACTTAAGTTACAGAATGGAAACTAAAAATTTTGCAATCTTTCGATTTATAAAGGGGCATAACTCAATAATGGTTAAAGTGACACTACCCAAATTCAACTTGATCTGTGTTTTATCAGTGGAAGTCAAAATTAAACATTACATTGTATAAAGCATTGATTGTAGTTGATTCAACTATAATCATGAACAAAGGAAGATAACTCCAATTTTAAAAATTACTTGATATTTAGAAGAAAATAAAAATTTTGCAATTTTTCCATTTATAAAGGGGCATAATTCTAGAACGGTTTAAGTGATGCCACCAAAATTCAAACTTGATCTGTGTTTTGTGGTAATGAGCATTGTTTATAAGTTTCATAACATTTGGTTGAGGCAAACTTAAGTTAGAGAACGGTAACTAAAAATTTTGCAATTTTTCCATTTATAAAGGGGCATAACTCTAGAACTGTTAAAGTGACACCACCAAAATTCAAACTTGATCTGTGTTTTGTAGTAATAAGCATTGTGTATAAGTTTCATAACATTTGGTTGAGGCAAACTCAAGTAAGAGAACAGAAACCAATTTTGGGACGTACGGACGGACCTACGTACAGAGGGACAAGGAAAAAACTTAATGCCACCTCCGCTATGGCGGGGGCATAAAAAATCTGGCAAGAATTGTACACATAATAGCGCTAAACATGCAATTTTCCATATAATTAATGTTTCCAAGGGTGATAACTCTTTTAAAAATAATTGATCAGTACTGATTTTCAAACTCGTCCAAGACATTGCTGATATAAACCTATGATATAAGTTTCATAAAAATCTGGCAAAAACTGTACACCTGGGAGCGCTAACAAGACGGGACAGACGGACACCCGGTATTTCCATATCCCCAACAACGCGTTTCACAGGGGACAGTAAAAAACAAGAGTGTACATGCTGAAATGTGTCACCTGCTGTACTGAACATGATCGATGTTTTGTTGCAAGTATCAAATAAGCTTACATTATCTATAACTGATGACAATAAGGTCAAGGTCAGATAAACCCTGACACACATACATGTACAGATTTAAATCATTCCAAAATGATACAACAGGTACAGTTAAGTCTATTTATATCTAGAAATTGACAATGAGGGTCGGTTGTGAACAAAACTTTATGACAAAAGAGATGATTTCAGCTTCCCAATTGTCAACTTTCAATTTCTACGTAGCAACATTACAGCAGCACCTGCATATGGAGTATACATCTCCCACTTGATACGATATTCCAGGGCTTGTGTTTTTCAATCATGATTTCCTTGAAAGAGGGTTGCTGCTCACAAGGAAGCTTTTAAACTAAGAGTTCTAAATGGTGAAGTTGAAACTATCCCTTCTAAATTTTACAGACCCCATCAAGAATTGGTTGACTGTTATTGTATATCTGTTTCACATTTATACATACATTGTTTTATTAAAGTGCAACCTGATATAACATATTAACACAAATATGAAACATATTTTATAATGTCAGCCAGCCTTCATATATATATTCCAATCATCATAACCACAATCCTGTCCTCCTTTTCCCCGAATGTGACCTACGGAATAAGACTTATCATTTGATTTGTACTTACATGAGCAACACGAGGATGTCACATATGGAGCGGGATCTACGTACCCTTCTGGAGCACCTGAGATCACCCCGGTTTTTGGTGGGGTTCCTGTTCCTCAGTCTTTAGTTTTATATGTTCTGTTTTGTATACTGTTGTTTGTCTGATTGGTCTTTTTTCTTTTTTAGCCATGACATTGTCAGTGTATTTTGACTTATGAGTTTGAATGTCCCCTGGTATCTTTCAACTCTCTCTTACAATCATTCAATGCACCAAATATAGTTGACCTACTGCTTATAATATCCAAGAAACAGGTCTAAACTAAATATTAACCAATAAACCATGAAAATTAGGTCAATGTCAGATGAACCCTGCCAATCAGACATATCAACCCTACAATCATTCCATACACCAAATATAGTTAACTGATTATTTAAAGTATCTGAGAAGAGGACCAAACTACAGAAACTTAACATTGACCAATGAACCATGAAAATGAGGTCAATGTCACATTAAAGCTGCCAGACTGACATGTACCCATTACAATCATTCCATGCACCACATATTGTTTACCTACTGCTTACAGTATCTGAGATACGGACCTAATCACTTAACTTTAACCTTGATCACTGATCCATGAAATGAGGTCCAGATCAGGTGAACCCTGTCTGACGGACATACAGATGTTGCAAGGAACCCATATAGCAAATATAGTTATCCTATTACTCATAATAAGTGAGAAATTCAGATTACAAAAAAACTTTAATTTTTTTCAAGCAGTCGCTGAACCATGAAAATGATGTCAAGGACCATGGACATATGACAGATGGAAACTTCATAACATAAGGTATCTGCATACAATGTATAAAGCATCCAGGTCTTATTCCTTCTTTAAGCTAAAATAAAGCTTTAGACAAATAGTTTACGCCACTGCCGGATAGTTATCCCTATGTTTCGCCTTCTGCAGGCGAGACAATAAAATGAAATAAAAAGTTTTATATTTACTTGAATATTTTTAACATCACTTTTAAATAAATCTTCTTTCATATGATATGGTACTTCAAATTTTATCACAATGTTTACTTTTACTTCTGAATGTTATCAGTTGTTTTTTCTTTTTTTTCTTAATGTTTTGGATAAACTTAAAACTTTTGCTTATTATAGTTTTGGCACTGAGCCTTCCTGGTAAATATTAATAAAAGAAAGCTTTCAGCTTTTAAATAAAAAAATTCTCCTTAAACAATTTACCTGCTAATAATAACATTTTGGGACAATCACAGGATAAAAACTTTTCTGATAGCCCTTGAAACCAGCCTACAAAATAAAGTCAGTAATTCAACATCTAGTATATGAAAAAAGGTTTAAAACAAGCTTAATTAAGAACATCAGTGTTATGTAAATATTGATTCTACCCTAAAACCTTGTTGTTAACAATTTTTATCATCTCAATAATTAGATTTTAAACTTTTGAAATTCGAGATTTACCGAGCTTTCAAAAATTTCAAAATTTTACTTTTTGGAGTGGATAAATATTGTAATCAATCGGATAAAGTGGTAGAATCAGCTTCTCTAATGATATAATGGAAAATGCTTAGTGCACCATTCCGAATTTACATGGAGGTTAATGAAACAAGAGAAAGTTTATCCATGTGTAGCATATCAAAAACTGGCAAGGTTTAAATGCATACAGAATTAGAGAAATATATTTATCAATGATCACTTTTCAGTTGATACATGTATAATCAAGCAATATGTTAGACGATGTATAAAGAGCAATATATCAAAAAACAATAATAAAGCATTTTTCCACACTTAACTTGTGACATCTTTTAATAAGAAAACAGATATGTTCATGTGATTCAAGTACGTTTTGTTAGAGCTTTTTGATGCTCCCATCAAACTAGATAATTGCCAATTTTATTAGAAAATATATGTAAATAGTGTATTTGATCAAATATTTCAACAAACATATGATAAAGAGACAGTTCAACTACAACTAAATACCTTTCCAAAAAGGTTCTGTTTTGCCCAAATCTATCCTCCATGTATATTTTGTCTGAAAAAAAGATGGGAAGACAGTTGACCAATTAAATAATATAAGCATTTAAAGAACCATTTTCTATCCACTGCTGAATGAATGATATAAATGCATTATGTAATTTTCAGTAAAATATCTAAACATATGGTTAAGCAGCCAGCAAAAACATTACTTTCAAAATATCACATATCAAGTCAAAATCATAGTCATATAACTAAATGCCAAGAGTCTTTAGGCATCAGGCTTATTATTTGAGATATGACTAATATCTGAGATTTTTCTGTACTATCTAATCTCACATCTTATGGGTACAAATTTTGTGAAAAAAAACTTTCCATTTCTAAGTTATTGACTATCTATTTTCCATTGTGTTTATCAATATTCATAAAAACATACAGAACTATCAGGCTTTTTAAAACTCTCTGTGTGTTGCTGTAGATTTTTAGAGGATTCTGTTGTGTCTGAGGTTAATATGTCTGTACTCTGTAATCGGTCTGTGCTATTTTTAGATTTTTTACTTTCTCCATCCTCATCTTCATCCTCTTCAGCTATTGTATCATTTGTAGATGTAACAACTTCCATCTCATGTTCATGATCAAGTTGTGAGGTAGCTGTTTCTGCTGTGTCTAATCTAGAAAATAATCAAGTTTTAAAGATATTTTCTATATTTTACACAGCATCCTTGAAATTTCCAAAATTCTACAGTCCTACTGAGATATGTTTTAGAAATTTGAGCAGATTTAATGAAAAATTATAACATTCAGGTAAACTTCTGGGTTAGCACTTTCAGATTAACCTTAATCTATAACATTCTTTTCACATTTGAATAGTTTTCATTTTCAAAATCAACTACGAGTCAACCAACTTTCTTGCAAGTTATCAATGGTAACTTAAGTCATGTGATACCTTAAATTTAAAAAATAAGTTGAATATATTTAATATACTTGAATGGCTAAAGTTTAACTAAAAAACATGTGTCCATGGACTTTTTTTAAAAATCATTTATCTTATCAAAATCTTCAGAAATGTACTTCTATTGAATTATTATCTACCAGTACTCTAATTTGCTAGTAGCTTTTCTGTATGCAGTGTCCTTAACCATGAGACCTCTGGTATATATGCATGCATTGGTTCAATAATTTCTAAACATTATAATTTCAAGAAACTAGTTTCAGATGACTTTAATTTTTATCAAATTTTAGCTGTCCCTTATACTCATGCTTAATCATGATGATTCCTAACAAATACCTAGAGCGAGTATAAATAAATGGGGAATGTGTCTATGGGACACAGATGATGCCCCCGCTTGCATATAACGTTATAAAGGGACATAACTCATTTACGATAAAAGTGATGCTACCCAAATTCATACTTGATCTGAGTTTTGTGGTAATAAGCATTGTGTATAAGTTTCATAACATTTGGTTGAGGCAAACTTAAGTTAGAGAACGGAAACGAAAATTTCAGCAATTTTTCCATTTGTAAAGGGGCATAACTCTTAATCGGTAAAAGTGACGTCACCAAAATTCAAACTTGATCTGTGTTTTGTAGTAATAAGCATTGGATATAAGATTCATAACATTTGGTTTAGGCAAACTTTAGTTAGAGAACAGAAACGAAAATTCAACAATTTTTCCATTTGTAAAGGGGCATAACTCTAGAAAGGTAAAAGTGACGCCGCCAAAATTCAACCTTGATCTGTGTTTTGTGGTAATAAGCATTGTGTATAAGATTAATAACATTTGGTTGAGGCAAACTTAAGTTAGAGAACGGACACCAAGTTTGGGACGTACAGACGGATGTACAGACAAACAAGGCAAAATCTTAATGCCCCCTCCGGTACAGCGGGTGACTAAAAATGTTTTATCCTGAAATTAAATTTGCTCCTGTGGAGCTAGGAGATATAAATCTAAGATGACATGATACAGGCATCTCAGCCAGAGCAGTACTGATGTCAATACTTTACACATGTTTAAATATCTTAAGGGAAAATTTAAACTGTACTGAAGAGTTGCTGCAATGAAAAATAACACTTCCATGAGTTTCGATGGAAGAATTATAATACCCTACTGCTGAAACATATACATTGGATGGGTTTACACTTATATGGGACAAGCATAAAGTTGTTACTGATGAAATTGTCAATTTACAATCCTACCATAACTTGTGTCAGAGTCAGATGCAGATATAGTCAACAACTGCAGACTGAACTAAATACTGGAGGCATCATGGTTTTATTTTTGTAAAAGCTTATTTTTATAACAATTTTCTATGTCTCTAAGTACCACAACTTCTGAACATTTCAACAAACCAGAAAAAACTCAACTCATTCTTTAACTTCAAATGATTGGACTTAATACTAAACACAATGTTTCTAATCAATTGAGTCATGCATAACAAAAAAGAAATGCAAATAAAAGAACAGAGTTCCAATGTCACCCGCTTTGCTCATATTTCATCTATCCAAGGTACAAAAGCAATAACTAAAAAAAGCACTTTTTTTTCTTTAAAACTTTTTATTAATATCTTAAGAGAAATGAAGGCTTCAGAGCAAATGCAATGTGATTTCCATTATAATTTATATTTCCAAGGGGCATATAACTCGTTAAAAATATTTGATCAGAACTTATTTTCAAAAGTGTCAAAGACATTGCTGATATAAACCTATGATATAAGTTTCATAAAAATTCTGGCAAGAATTGAACACATGAGAGCGATAACATTGCAACTTTCCATATTATCAATATTTTCAAGGGGCATAACTCTTTGGAAAATAATTGATCGGCACTGATTTTTGACCTCTTCAAGAACATTGATGATATAAACCTATAATATAAATTTCATAAAAATCTGGCAAGAATTGTACACATTAGAGCGCTCATAAGGCAATTTTCCATATAATTAATATTTCCAAGGGCATTACTCTTTTAAAATTTTTTGATCTGCACTGATTTTCAAATTTGTCCAAGACATTGCTAATATGAACCTATGATTTAAGTTTCATAAAATTCTGGCAAGAATTGAACACATGAGAGCGCTAATGATGCAATTTTCCATAAAATTAATGTTTCCAAGGGGTTTACCTCTTTTAAAAATAGTTGATCGGCACTGATTTTTACGAACTCGTCCAAGTCATTGCTAATATAAACCAATGATATATGTTTCATAAAAATCTGGCAAGAATTGTACAAATGAAAACGCTAACGTTGTGATTTCAATATCATTAATGTTTCCAAGGGGCATAACTCTTTTAAAAATAATTGATCAGAACTGATTTTCAAACTTGTCCAAGACATTGCTGATATAAACCGGATATAAGTTTCATAAAAATCTGGCAAGAATTGTACATATGAGAGAGCTAACGATGCAATTTTCCATAAAATTAATGTTTACTAGGGGCATAACTCTTTTAAAAATAATTGATCGGCACTGATTTTCAAACTCATCCAAGACATTGCTGTTATTAACCTATGATATGAGTTTCATAAAAATCTGGCAAGAATTGTACAAATGAGGGCACTGACGATGCAATTTTCAATACACTTAATGTTTCCAAGGGGCATAACTCTTTTAAAAATAATTGATCAGCACTGATTTTAGAACTCGTCAAAGACATTGCTAATATAAACTTATGATATAAGTTTCATAAAAATCTGGCAAGAATTGTACAAATGAGAACGCTAACAATGCAATTTTCCATAAAATTAATGTTTCCAAGGGACATAACTCTTTTAAAAATAATTGATCTGCACTGATTTTCGAACTCGTCAAAGACATTGCTGATATAAACCTGATATAAGTTTCATAAAATTCTGGCAAGAATTGTACACATGAGAGAGCTAACGATGCAATTTTCCATAAAATTAATGTTTCCTAGGGGCATAACTCTTTCAAAAATAATTGATCGGCACTGATTTTCAAACTTGTACAAGACATTGCTGATATAAACCTATGATATGAGTTTCATAAAAATCTGGCAAGAATTGAACAAATGAGGGCCCTAACGATGCAATTTTCAATATACTTAATGTTTCCAAGGGGCATAACTTTTTTAAAAATAATTGATCGGCACTTATTTTCGAACTCGTCCAAAACATTGCTAATATAAACTTATGATATAATCTTCATAAAATTCTGGCAAGAATTGTACAAATGAGAACGCTAACGATGCAATTTTTCCATAAAATAAATGTTTCCAAGGGACATAACTCTTTTAAAAATAATTGATCGGCACTGATTTTAGAACTCGTCCAAGACATTGCTGATATAAACCTATGATATAAGTTTCATAAAAATCTGGCAAGAATTGTACACATGAGAGCGCTAACAAGTCCGGACGTACGCCAGGTATTTCCATGTCCCCCACAACGTGTTGCGCGGTGGACAACAAACTGTTCTTCTAAAGCAATTGTCCTAGGACCACAACCTTTACAAAAAAGCTGTTTTTGGATGTCTCTAACTTTATCTGTAACTTTTTGTGATAGGTCTTTTAACCAAATATCTAATTGATTTATATTATTCACAATTTTTCTTTCCGTTTTAAATTTCCCTCCTTTACTGTTTACATAAAACTTAAATCATGTGATATTTTGTATGGTACTATAAATGGTAAAGGGAATTTCCTATTTTAGACCCAAGGTTGTGTTAACAAGATGAAAGAAATTTAAAGGAATAAGGTAATCAAGACAAAGATAAAACTATTAAATATTTTCAAAACATTACATCTTATATTTAAAGTATTTTAAAATGTGAACTTGGGATTGCATAATCCACCAGCTCAAATCAAGACATTCTATATCTATGTGACCTACTTTCTTTTTTGTTATTGTTACCATCAGATAAAATAAGTGTATAAATAACAATATATCTGTGATTTATCTTCACCCATACAAAAACTAGTATGTTCATTTCTATTATTTTCTAAAGCTGACACATTTTTTTATGCACTCTACTTTCTTTTTTGTTTCTGTCAGATGCATTCAATCAATACTAGATAAAGGCAACAGTAGTATACCGCTGTTCAATAGTCATAAGTCAAATAAGCGAAAACAAATCTGGGTCACAAACCAAAACCGAGGGAAACACATCAACTATATGAGGAAAACAACGGAACAACAGAAACACTGAACTGCTACAAAAACAAACGCCAACATACATAGAAATGGATTATTTAGAACCATAGATATATCAAAACTGCATGATACAATTTATGATGAAAATAATAGATTTGATTTTTTTTGATTTTTGGTGTTTTAACGCCACTTTTAAGCACCGCTTTTGGGCTATTTCGTGGCGGCCAGTTTTTATTGGTGGAGGAAGCCGGAGTGCCCGGAGAAAACCACCGACCTTCGATAGGAAAACTGACAATCCTAGTCAATTAAGATTGGAGTCGAGTGCACCCGCACGAGCGGGGTTTCGAACTCACAACCTCAGTGTTGACTGGCTAGTGATTACAGTAGTAACTACTTAGACCATTCGGCCACCGAGGCCCCCTGAAAATAATAGAGATGCTCTCCTGAATCTCTGCTTATAATAGGTTATAATGAATTGTTTCTCATATGTAAGTGGTCTGTCTCATATTAGATTTGTGAAAAAGGTTATTATCGGTAATTGAATTTTATTTTTCATCTCCTTAAGGATGAACATCTGAAGATATGCTGTAGAAATTGAAATTATAACAATAAGCATTATTCACACATCTATACACCTTTATATTCTAAAACCTTATTTTTGATTTTTGTTGTAAGATACATATGATGACCACATGTCAATGATGGAAATGAAGGGGACACTAGATAACATTATCAAACTTAGACTAAATAATATTGTAATAAATAAAACCTAGTTTGAATTATAACTTCTAATGGTCATAAAAACATTTTTCAATAAGTTGTAGGATGGACAGGGAAGATCAACGTAGATATCTTGTGGTTGGATCTGTCATTTTAGAAGTAGTAACTCCTATGTTCCAACAGAAGATTGAAAATGAGTATACAACTGGTGGGTTTAGATCCCTTCAGGCATTTATCAACAGTCAACAAGTTATTCATATCCTTTTTCACCTACGACACAGAAACTCATGGTGTTGTAAGGACAAAGCAAACTGTCATAACCCTTCTGCACTGCCTTTGGTTTACTGCCAATGGAACATGTTGTATTCTGAAAATCCAGGACCTGGTATCCACAACTGTCACTGTAAATTCACAGCAAATTCTGTTCAACTTAATGAACTTGATATCAGCCTTTCCAGTCTGATATTGTTAAACTGTTGTAACCTATCACAACCTGAAGAGGAAGCTGTTCAATTGTTACGACAATACAAGAATGATTACTTGAGTCATAATACGACAGGTTGTATTACCCAAACTGAATACAACACGCTATGGCCAGACATAGTCACTTATGTCCTGCGGCTTGATCCCACTAAACAGGATGACCTTGTTAGGATAGAAAACAGACCATTAGATGAGTCATTGTGTAAAAAATACTTCACATGCCTTCTTGACCTTCATCAACAGTTAGAAGAGGTATAAATTCTATATAGATTTCAATTACTGTAACATTTACATTCTTCTGATACATTGATGGATTTATAAATTTTTAAAAGTATTACAAGGTGTTCTCTTACATTATTCAAGCATTTTGAAAAAGCTAAAAAAACAATACACTGATTTTAAATTCAACGTTTAAAAAAATGCATTTTTTCACCTGCAATAGATTTGCATTAAAAACCAATTTCTCATATCAAGCATCCTCTAATTTGGCTGACCTCCTTAGAGCTAATTTCAAGAGAAAAACTAAAAGCTATATCTGATATTACGTGTTGTCATTTAGAGAAGATTTCATCAGATGTCAAAATTCAAAGAAAAGCGATAAGATTGTAACTTTCTTTTTTTTTATAAAGATAAAATCAACCATGCAAAATTTGCATTCATCCATCCAAGCTGTCAGTTCTTCCATAATCGGACTGCACAGTTCTGCCCAGACAACAGTTCAAGGAATAGATACAACAGTCCAAAGGATGGATACAACAGTCCAAGGGATGGATACAACAGTCCAAGGAATGGATACAACAGTTCAAGGAATGGGAAACTCCATTCAAGGAATAGAAACATCTGTACAGCAAACAAATGACCTTCTTAAAGTAAATCATAATAAAGTAATAAATGAAATGGCTGTGCAAATTGTGATGATATTTGTTAGATTTCTTTACCATGTTTAAGTCTGTAATTTTTTTATATTACCTGCAACGTCTGACTTAAAATCACAGATGCATTAGGTAAGAGCATTTGTCTCCATACTGGTCTCCTCAATGCGACTTTGAGATGAATAACAGTAATACACACATTGTTCATTTATGGGGTTTAAAAATGTAAATATTTTGAAAAAGTATACCTAATCCCCCCTTTTCCATTTGATCAAATGCATTTCAGTTGTATGGTATTTAAAAATATTAAATTATGGTACTTAACCTACTAAATTAAATTTACCTTGATAGTATATCGGCAAGTCATACTACCCTCCTCTAATGTAAACACAGGAATATATGATTATTTTATATGATTTTTTTATCAATATAACACATTAAAGACCAAGAGACCAATTGTTTCCTTTTGAAATGTGAATCTTCCCTAACACCATACTTCTAAGACAAAGAAATTATGCATGAAAAGAACGAAAACATGAACACATTTCCACAATAATTGTTATACATATACAAATATTGGATGTCTATATTGTTGAATAACATATGGAAATATCAGAATCTATGATTCTGCATTTTGATCATTCCTAAATTGGCTTGATAAACACACTTATGACCTACATTTTATTCTAATTGTAGGTCACTTTGTATCTGAAAACATTTAAACATAATATCAACAGTTGGGCTAAACAATAAGTCATTAAGTGTTTTTAAACACTTTTATATCATATGAAAACTGTTTTCCATTTTGGGCACATGAATCAATACATGATAACAATAGATAAATTTGTTATGTTTTGTTAATTCATATAAAATACTGTAAGATTTATGTGCAGATTTGTAAGTTTGGAGTAATACACAATCTACCGATTGACCAAATTTAAAGGAAAATTCAATTCTCAGCTTCATTCAAAATCATCCAAAGAGGCCATGTCCCTTATTTCGTAAAGATGGCATAATGCAAATGTATCTTTAAATCAAGATTATGATATCAACTAAATAAAAGGCATGGTTGGACAGACATGTCTCAACTTTTAAACAATTCTATTTTCTAAAGTAGAAAATCTTTAAACAAATTGGATGTATATCTGTGTTATTGAATGATATCATATATGAAAGAAAAAGGATCCCATATTGAAGGCTGTTTTAAAAATAAGTTGTTTTTCTGAATTGATGAAATTTTTACCATTTAACACTGTGCAATAAACAATAAAACAAGAAATTGTCTTCCTATGTACATTTTTTTTCTTTATAAAAACAAGCATTCTGAGAGTATTGCACAGCCATGCATAGTCCCCTACCTGTTAAAAATGTATTGTACTGGAACAAAATGCTAACTTAATCTATAAATTGTCATGGTGTTAACTATATAACAAATATCAAGTCAATATCTTCAAGCATGATGAAAAAAAGTGTGGAAAACTGATTATTCAAGTGAATTTCCTATTTCCAAGGATCATAACTGCACAAAATCATCAGACCAGAACAAAATTCAAACTATAACTGTAACTTGTCATGATAAAACTATATATACCAATTATCAAATCAATATCTTCAGGCATGATGAAAAAAAAGTGCAGAAAACTGATTATTTGAGTGAATTTTCAAGTCCAAGGATCATAACTCTGCACAAAATCATCAGACCAGTACAAAATTCAAACTTGATCTGTAACTTGTCATGATAAAACAATACACTAAACATCAAATCAATATCTTCAAGGAAGAAGAAAAAAAGTGTGGAAAACTAATTTGCCGGATTGATGGATGGACAGACAGACAGACAGACAGACAGAAGGACGGAGTGAAAACCTAAAGTCCTCTTTGACTTCGTCGGTAGGGGACTAATAAGAAGATGTGGAATGATTGCCAATGAAACAACTCTCCATCCGAAGCCAAATGATGTAGAATTTATCAACCAAAGGTAACTGTACAGCCTTCAGTTCACTTATCATTAATTTACATACAAGTAACAGTTTATTTATATTTTAGGAACTCCTACAGAAAGGTTTGACATGTGAATGTGGCAGACAAATCATCTTTCCTCTCTGTAAGTTTGTAAACATATTTCTAATGTTTATTAGAATTTTACATCTTAAATCAAATGAATCATTTTAAAAACCTGCATCATGAGGAGGAACATCACACTATGTGAAGCAAAAGTCTCCATCTACTTGCTCTTTTAAAGATTATTTCCTCATTATCCCTATTTTGCATAATTTTCATTTTATCTTCTTTGTGATAATTTTTCCTATCATGCTACTCGCTTGAGATAGAAAATTATTGCTTGGATCTAAGGGCACATGTGCCATTGTCAGTGTAAACATCAATGATGTCATAGGCAAAATAGCGATAACCTGATCAATAATGTCACCCTTCAATGAGATAATAGCTGAAAAGCGCCTCTCATTTAAAAAACAATCTGTAATCTTAAATTATTATCAGTTGTTTTTTGTAAATTGCCAAATCATTCACAGAGACTGCCAAAGCTTCCTGGTATCTTTTTTTAACTAATTCATTCCTCCAAAATTGCAGGAAAATTGTAAATTGTGATTTATACTAATGTTTATAGTATTAGTATCAATTGGTAACCCTAACCCTGTTATTTATAGTATTCAGGGCTTCTAAGGAGAAAGCTGTATCCTTAAAAGATTTATACACAACTGTAATGATATACAGTATAATATGTTAAAAAAAATTTTTTTTTTAAATTGGATAAAAATTAAAAAAAATTTGGATAAAAATTAAAAAATATGATCATGGATTTAGTTTGTAATATGGAAAAATGGTTGAAGGGTATGCATCAATGAGAAGCATATTCAACAACAGTTTTCAAATAAACATAAGTGCCTATTAATCAGTCAATTGCAAGAAGTATGAAATAATAAAGACAATTAATCAAATATTTCAATTATGTAAGATACCATGGACGTGATACTAGGGTCAATAAATTGAGATCTGAGATTTTAGTATTTAATCACCAGGATGCCATAATTATAAACAGCCTGTTACCATAGTTAGCAGTGAAATATCTCAGACAATTGAAAAACAAAAAATTTTCTACGACTACACAAATGTGTAAAACAATTGTTTTTTAAAACATTTAGCATGTAGTCAGTACTATGAGAACAATTCAATTAACTAGGATTTGCAATTTACTTGCAACTAATAGTAAAACCTCGATAATATTTAAAGGATTATTGTTTCCTTTATATGTACATAATTTTAAACACAAAATTCACCACCTAGTGGTGTTTATTGACATTTGCATATGCACTCTTAAAATTCATGTATTGAGAGAAACATAATTCGATTAAATGCTTAAATCAATATGGTATAACCCCTGGAAAATGAATATTTGATTGCAGTGACTGCAAATTACAAATTATAACTTAAAATAAATCTGGTTTAAATCCCTTTAAAGTATGTTTGTTTAGAAAACACTTTATGTTAATTTTAAATAAAATGACAAGGATTAAAAGTGCAAGCTTTTAGCATTAAAAAAATAAGATAGTATACTATAACACATATTGATATAATTAAATAAATATATTGCAAGTGAACTTAAAATATGAAACCTTGATGTAAAAATTACCTTCATTAGAAAAATTTATGAATGCCTATGGTGAGATAAAAAAACTCCTGATATTTCTGAAAACACTTTGTTGTTCAACAAATGAAATAAATAAGAGGACCTGATTACACACACAGTACATATACTAACATTGTCAAGAATTTGTGATTTATTTCAAAACACAAGAAATGGAAGAAATCATTATAATGCTTGCATAATTTCAAGTAACCTAACTGGCTAAGTGTGTGGTTGTGTTATAAACAAGTTGTTATATAAGTTCCCATGATCTAGATTGAACACTACACTAATACACGTGAATGCACCCTGTCCAAAATGTTAAAAGCTTAAACTTAGTTTAACATGTTTTCTTTGAGTTCTTATCATGTACTATTAGGTTTAATCAGACCTTTCTTAATTATTTAGTACATATAATATACTTTCACAGTTCTTGTTTAGTAACAATATTGTATCTACTATTTAGATAATGATCAACCTAGAAAACACAGAAAGCAGTATCATCTAGGACAAAATATCTTCTACCTCCATCAACAGCATAATCTTGAGCCACTTATCAAGGATGACAAGATAACAGTGGTTAGTGATGTAAAGATGATGGATGACGGTCGACTGGTGTCTTGTATACCATACAAGAACAGCATACTGATCTGTAACACTGATGGATCACATACATATAGTATATCTGTACAGGGGGGTGAACCAGTGTATGTTACAATAGTCAACAACTCTACAGTGGCTGCTTTAGTTGTGAAACTGTTCAGTTTTGAAATAATAGAGGTGTATGACATAAACAATAAACAAAAACTTAAATCCATATCAGTACCTGGCATGATGTTTTTTTATGGCATTACAATGATAAACAACAAGTTAGTAGTAGGTAGTTCAAATAGACTACTGATTGTTGATTATCAGACAGGAGAGACAGTACAAACAATAGAAACAGGCTGCAGACCATACAGGATACATGCTTCTGGTGACAGAATATTCTTCAGTGACCTCTCTGTGATTCACCCAAAAAAGACACCAAAGATGTACTGTTGTTTTGATAACAAAGTATTTACTGAAACATTACCATCAGATCCATACTCTTTTACCTCTCTACAAGATGGTAGTGTGTATGTGCTCTATGAAGATGGTTTAATACTCCATGTATCAAATGATTTTAAACATGTGAAAAAAGTCAAAATAAACAACAAAGAAGTGCTGAATGATCATTGTATTATCAGCTACAACACAAAGCAAAATAAGATGGTTGTACTTAAAGGAAATATTCTGAGCATCTTTCATGAGGGCATAGGACATTTGAGTGAAAATAAATAATGCACATAGGGTCATTTAAGGGCCAACCTCATAGGACATTTGAGCCCCAGAATATTAACCTTACCTGGATTTTCCAATAGGACATTTGAGCGCAATTTTCTGTGATATTTTGATATGTATTAACAGAATATTTAAAAAAAATAATAAGAAAAAATAGTAAGTTTTTGAAATAAATATATTTTATTTGATTTAACATCTGAGTTATTCAGAAAGTTGGATTCAGACGAAAATAAAAAGAGGTAGATTCAGATATCAGTAAATGGCTGAAAGGAGTGTTTGGGATACTTTCTTATATCCAAATGTTGTTTTTTTACAATTAAAATATGTTTTAAACTTTGTGTGTTATAAACTCGACATTTTATTAACTATATCCTGCTTGAAATCCTACTTCCAGTGAGCAGGGGTAACAGTTAATATATGGTATATTTTATTTCGCTCAAATGTCCCATGCCTATTTTTATTTTCACTCAAATGTCCTAAAATTCAGGTGCTAAAATGTCCTATACTTTGGGGCTCAAACGTCCTTTTTTAATTGCTCTAACAGTAAGCCTTATGACATATCTTCATAAGAGTATCATTGTCAGACATAAATAACTTGTCTATGTTCACATATAAGTGAGAAATCCACATGACAAAAAAAACTATAATTTTTTTTCAAGCAGTTGTTGAACCATGAAAATGAGATCAAGGACAATGGACATACAACAGATGGAAACTTCGTAACATAAGGTATCTGCAAAAAAGATATGAATCATCCAGGTCTTCTACCTTCTGAAATATAAAGCTTTCTACAAATAATTTACGCCACCGCTACCCAATAGTAATACCTAAGTCTCGAAAGGCCAAAAAACAAATTGAATGCTCGACTTTAAGTCAAAACTTTGACCAATCTAGACAGAATGGCGATTAGATAGATTTTTAAGAGGATTATTAAGAAAAGCTTTTCACATTTGTCTTATGTGTCTTCATGTACACTTGTCTTAGAGTTGCTGGACCATTAATATTTTTTAAGGTATAAATACTTTATATTAAGTCTCAATCAAGTGAACTTATAAATCAAAATACTATATCTTACTTTTATAAAAATCTTTAATGTATTGCACTTGTGATTAATCCTCTTTAAAATTCAGGCCAGTATTTCATATTACCTAGTATTTTGCAGTATTACCCTGTAAAACCTAGGTTTTTCCAGTATTTCATACTGGGCTGAGCAATACTCATAAAACCTGGGTTATTGCCAACCCCGACATATTTTGTACAGAATATTCTGAAACGGAATTCAATCAGCTAGAAAGGTAGAAGAAAATGACACGTTATTAATTTCTTTTGTTTGAAGTGCTTGTAAACAGTAAAATCTAGGGTTGGGTAAGAAATAACAATGAAGTCAGATACAGATGTCAGTATATATGCTTCAATGGTAAAATCTGAAGCTAGATGAGTATAGACAATTAAGTCTTGACCTTCATATATACTACATTGAATTTTACATGCTTAAAAGGAAGGAACATGAGTTAATACTGTACTGAAGTAATTCAGATACATGACAGGTCATATAAAACAATCTTACCTTTTAAGCTGCCCAACCATTGAAACTTTGGCTGATTCTACATTTCTTATTTGTCCTGCTCTAACACTAAAACAAAAACACATGATATATGATATAATATGATTCATTAAATGTTTTGTTAATGTTTAGATAGTAAGAAAAGGTATGGTGAATTCAGAAATTATTGCGTGCATTTATTATTGCGATTTCCTAAATGAACAAATTTAATTATTGCAATTTTAGGACAAACTACATAAAAATATATGTATCAGATACCAGAATGCGAGTTCTTATTATTGCGATACTCAAAGAGTCGCATTATTCGCATTAATAAAAACCTCGCAATAATTTCTAATTTACAGTAATTAATATAATATAAAAATTCTCTATGACATTTTATTGAATAATACAGCTCAATGTTTTCATCGGCCAAGACTCATTGTGACATTACATCTTTCAATGTTGACATACATTTGGAATAATTTCTAGATTGTGTCTTGATGTTATTGCTTATTAAGTTATATAACGATATCACTTCTACAAATTTAAATTTATAAAGTATTCAAATCTTCTTTCACCCTAAAGGACTCAATTTCATTAAGCTTTGTATGCCATTATATAATCAAAAACATGCATAATAAAAAAGTGTCAGTTATGGAAACTGAAAGTTTTACCTTTGAAAATGATGTGTGAGGAAGGGTATTTATCTATGAAATTATTTCAAAACATTTGCCATACTGTGATAAACAATGGACTATATTATCCTTCATATTGTCCTAATACTTCATCATTTATTACTTGTCACATATACATCTGAGTATAAGAACTAACCTCCATTCAATGGCATGTTCCAGAGATTTAAATACAACAGGCCTGCCTCTCAAAAAACTTTGCATACTGGTTAATGCTTCCAAAGCTGTTCCTATAATATAAAACAAACTATTGTCCAGTATAATGGAACTGAAATATTGCAAGTAATCAATTCATTTCATATAAGTAATTGAAAATGCATGAGAATGTATATGCTTTCGCCATCATCATCTTGTTACTTTTCTTGCCTAGAGTTGTCTTTCTTGCTAGCAGATACTATAACAATCTAAATGTTACTGTAACATATTAGTCTACGGTAATATGACAATATTTTGGGTTTTTTATGACACAGAAATTATTCAAAAAGTTTTAAAAAGGCTAAATTATACTTTATCAAATAATATCTTCCAAAGAGAGATATTGTCATGTAATTGAATGCAACTTTTGTAAATTGCTTTCTTGGAAATATGAACTATCTGTTTTAACTCTTTGGATTATTTGTTTATTTTTTGTTCAAACCATCAATTATCATGTCAAAGAAAATCACAAATGTTGAAACAGCAAACTGATCCTCCCAAAACTGCATTCATTGAGAGAAAATATTTTTATTTCAAGGGTTCAAAATACTAGTATGCTTGTAGGTACAAATAACCAAGTACTATTATTTCTAATTGTTTACTTGTAAAATGCCTTTCAATTCATAGTGGAATATCATCATCAAACCATTTTCTTTTTTACCCCAAAAGAATTTTGACTAGTTAACCCCAAAAATAAAAGCCTGTTTCTTCCATCTGTATTAGTTTCTTTCTAATTAAGCAAGGGAAACACAAGCTACCATTCAGAACCCATCTTCTATTTTTTTTCCTTTTTAGTGACAGCTATCTTGTCCTTCAACTTAATGACCCCAAAATCAATAGGCCTTTTCCTCTCCAATATATATTTCATCTGTATAGGTATCTGCCATATGTATAACTTTCATTTCAATTAAGTGATGTAAACATAAGTCACCTATCTGAAACCCATTTTCCAAATGTTTTTTATTTGTTACATTTTTAAGTGATATATATATTTATCTTACCTCCTATAGATTTCTGGGGATATGATTAGTTAAAGGACTACACGTGGTGACTACATATATTTGATATAGGGTGTCCTAAAAAATATGGGGTTAGTTACCATATGGGGTTAGAAAGGAGTTACTTCCCTTTCAAAAAAAAAAAAAGAAATCTGAAAGGTTTCAACAGACGAAGAAATTGATAATGAACGATTGAAATAAATTCATAAAACAAATTAAAAGCTAACAAGTTGTTATTGTTGGCATTTATTTTTTGTATAGACAAATGGAAGTAGGTTCTTAATACTAAGTATTGAAGACTTAATCACTTTGATAGGCCGCTAGTCTAAATACCACATGTGAAGATAGTCGGTAAGATAAATTTGTTACACAGTGTGCTAGTGACCTAATACGATATATATGGGGTCAGTAAATTCCATATGGGGTGAGAGCATCATATTAGGTCACTAACACACCATGTAACTAATAATATTCACATTTGACTTTAAATTCAGTAGGCTTCTATCCCTCCCCTATATTTTCCATCTTTATTATTTTCATTCTAAACAAGCAAGGGATACTAAAATAACCATCTGGAAAACATTTATTTCAGACACATGGACAAAAAGATTACTATATGCTCCTAATATTTTTTCATGAAGCATATTAAAATGTTTTGAGAAATTAATATAGTTGTCAATATATTACATATTACATTATTGTTTTGTAGTATGGCAGTAGGGTTTGGGTCCTAAATGAATTTTGAAAAATCATAGATTGATGAAGTACAAGCTTTGTACAAAAACTAAATGTATCAATAGTTTCCCAAATGGGATGAAATTATTTGATTTTCTACATATTATTCAATTTAACACAAATGCCATATATAGCAATCAGCTTAAGATTTCCAAAATAAATTATCAAAACCATTAATGTCCATTCCATCTCATTGTCACAGAGAATGAAATTTTCCTTTTTCCCCATAAGATCCTATGTGAGACCATATTTCATATTTCTGTAGCCATCTTTTTGCAGTGGTAATATAATATGTGTGTTTTATTTGTGTTTTGATATTTGCCTTGTTAGCTTTGAATAGCTTATTCATAATTCTTAATTTAATGTAAATGTTTATTTAGTTTATAACTTCTTGTATCAATTTACATAGAAGTCAGTGAGTGATTACCGGTAAAGTAATTTCAAAAACTCCAAAATGCATCTAACTTCTAGAGATAGTTTTTTTATCTATTTGTAGATTTTGATTACAGAATTTATGTATATAACATGTTAGATTGTAGTGTCATCAGTATTGATGTATGATGCAGAATTCAAAATTTTACAACCATATCAAATTTTCTTTAATCAAATGATAATAATTTGATAACAGTTTGAAACAGATGATTCCAAAAGTTTATTGTGAATTGATCAATGCAAAATTTGAATAAGATCAGGGTTGAGGTTATAAGGCAAAGAAAATACAAAAGAGGTTATAATAGCTTGTGAAATATAAATATTATCTGGAGTACTTTATGTATGCTTATTATATAAGTCTATTATATATATGTAGAGACTGGACTCACATTGTTTACTATCCAATAAATGTTGTCAAAATATACAAAGTAAAATAAAGATTTTTCAATAAGTATTTGTTGAAGTTAAAGGTCTTCAACCTTACTTTTTCATTTGAAAATTGTTTACTGTTTATCATTGTCTTATTTGTTTACCTTTGTAGCTAGTTAGTAGAAAATAAAAATATTTAGAACATGACTTTGAAATTACAATTAATATTAGCCAAAATATATTACTTAATGTCAATAGTGAAACATTTTCGTCACCAGTTTTACCTTTTTGCACCAGGAGCTTTGAACTGGTTTTTTTTAAAAACAAGTCTTATTTCCAGATTTTTAATTAATTACACTTTATCATTTATAAAGGACAACAGATCTTAGAAGACTTCTGCTTAATTTGGTCTCTTGTGGTCAGTTGTCTTAGTGGCAATGATACCGATCATACCAAATCTTCCTATTTTTATATTCGTCTTACCTTCAACAACATCAATTACAATCAGACCAATTAAGGATGGAATCAGGTGTCTGAAGGCTGTGTTTACTGCTATAGAACCTCCCATACTGTCAACAGATAAATATAACTATTAAAGACCAACATCTTCAGTAGATCTGTCTAGAAATTCATTGAATTGTTTAGCAAGGATTGTTATTTTGTTTAGTTTTATATTTGACCTTAGATAATTTGGCAATTCTGTTTTAGTCATATAGCTCATAATGTTTCTACATATTTACTTATCCCTATCTTCCTTTCAAATGTTAAGGTTTGAGCATTCCTGGTTAAGGAAAATCCAGAAAAGCGTTTCCAATGCACAACTTTCATAAGTGTTTAGTTTATTTAAGGCATAAGAGACAGGTAAATTGCCCCCTAAGAATGTATTACATGGACACCCTTAATAAATTCTTTCACAATATAACAGAAAGGAGATGGTTCACTAACTCACAATTTTGGTCCTAAAAACCTGATTTATTTTAACTGCGATGAAGTTGTGAAAATTATATGAAAGCATATGTTACAATGTCCAATTGTTTCAGTTATAAAAGATTTTTCACCAATTACGTCATTAGTGATGTATTTCTGACGTCATAAATTCAGGTGAATTTGTGAACGCCTGATTTTTGGCATAATTTGGTGAAATTTATGTTAGCTTTCTGAAAAATTAACAGCTGAAATATTTTAAATATACCATATATTCTTTCAACCAAAATTTCAATGGGTGAGGGGAAGTGCCACACATGAAATCATGGAATAAGGTAAAAAAAGTTAAAGAATTTCTAGAAAAATGGACTAAAATGAAATCTATACCTATTTCAGGCTAATATATATTTATAATATATGAAACAGACATACATTTTTTCTTATTATACATTAAAAAATAATACATTTAGCAATACATACACAGTAAATTTACTCAAACAATTGAAGTTTTAAAAATGCACCTTTACAGGGCTGTTTATTGGGGTTACTGGCTCTACTCCTTTCGATAATATAATTATTCAGTAAAATTTGATGGACAGAGTTTAGAGAAATGCTAATCTACAGTAAAATTATTCTATAATTTTTGGTGATATTTACATGCATTTTTATTTAAGTTTTACCCTTGTGCGTACGTCCCAAAGTTGGTTTCCGTTCTCTAACTTAAGTTTGCCTCAACCAAATGTTATGAAACTTATACAAAATGCTTATTACCACAAAACACAGATCCAGTTTGAATTTAAGTGGAGTCACTTTCACCGTTCTAGAGTAATGCCCCTTTACAAATGGAAAAATTGCTGAATTTTTCGTTTCCGTTCTCTAACTTTAGTTTGCCTCAACCAAATGTTATGAAACTTATACAAAATGCTTATTACCACATAACACAGATCCAGTTTGAATTTTGGTGGAGTCACTTTCACCGTTCTAGAGTAATGCCCCTTTACAAATGGAAAAATTGCTGAATTTTTGGTTTCCATTCTCTAACTTTAGTTTGCCTCAACCAAATGTTATGAAACTTATACAAAATGCTTATTACCACAAAACACAGATCAAGTTTGAATTTTGATGGCGTCACTTTAACCATTCTAGAGTTATGCCCTTTACAAATGGAAAAATTGCTGAATTTTTCTTTTTTGTTCTCTAACTTTAGTTTGCCTCAACCAAATGTTATGAAACTTGTACACAATGCTTATTACCACAAAATACAGACCAAGTTTGAATATTGGTTTGTGTCACTTTAATCGTTCTAGAGTTATGCCCCTTCACAAATAAGAAAATTGCTGAATTTTTCGTTTCCGTTTTGTTACTTTAGTTTGCCTCAAGTTCAACTAAATGTTATGAAACTTATACACAATGCTTATTACTACAAAATACAGATCAAGTTTAAATTTTGGTGGTGTCACTTTTACTGTTCTACAGTTATGCCCCTTTACAAAGGGAAAAATTGCTGAATTTTTCGTTTCCGTTCTCTAACTAAAGTTTGCCTCAACCAAATGTTATGAAACTTATACACAATACTTATTACCACAAAACTCAGATCAAGAACAAATTTGGGTAGAGTCACTTTTACCGTTCTTCATTTACATTTATAACTCTTGTTGCCAGATTTTTATTAATTTATTCCATGGAAATATGATATTTGAAATATTCTCATAGCTGACTGGTGTCTAATCAAAAGCTGGATAAGAAGTGTAACTAGACAGATATTCATGGGAAAAAAACTCCCATACTAAGATATGATTACAGATACTGCAACAAAGCTAAAAAAAAAATATACCCTACACTTGCAAAGTCCACGATTTGATAAGAGAAACCATTCAAATCATTCAGAGGAAGAATAAAGTGGCTTATAAGTACATAATGATAGTAAGATTTTGTGAAAGTTTCACAAAATTCTGTCAATAAAATTGCAGATACAAATTTGGGACAGAAGAACGAAAAAATGAAACAGACAGACTCCCGTTTCACTATATACCAGGCACTTTAGAAAGAAAGGTGTACAATAATTGAGATTATAAACAATTTTATAGGTGTACAATGGCATTAATGCTGAAGAATCTGAGAAAATTTCATCAAATTCTAATAAGGATCCAATGAGGAGAAGGGGATATAAATGTGTACTGTAGTGTGCCTATAATTTGCTAAATGAAACTGCTAAAGGAGGTGCACAATGGCATTATATTGTTAAGATTATGAGAAAGTTCAATCAATTGTAATATAAAGGGGTTTTGGAGGAGTTTCAGATACAAAATAGGTACCCCCCTAAATAAAGCAATGGCAAAGTCCATGCTTTGGTAAAGGAAACCCCAAAAATGATTCAGATCATTAAACAAAATATTAGATGCACAATAGCATTAAATGGTTAAGATTGTGAGAAAGTTCAATAAATTGTAATAAGGGCTTTAAGAGGAGTTTCAGATACAAAATGTATATCCCCAAATAAAGCAATGGCAAAGTCCATGACTGGTTTGCAAGTTTGGTTGTACCCGTAGAAAACTTATTTCAAACGGAATAGCACATCCTAATTTTTACGGGAATGTTGTTTACCGAGCCCGGAAATTTAGATACAATCTGCGTAAACTTATCAATCCTTTAAATAAACTTTTCTTACAGGTTACCAATTCAACACTGTAATTAGATCTTTGAATATTGTTTTTATTGGTATTAATATTGATTTTTTTATCAGTAAATTAAAACCGTACTAAATATCATTGTTATACATATATGCACCTTTACGGTACTTCTGTCAATATCTATATTTTGGCATTGCACAAGGTCATGTTTTTCTCTGTTAATGACGTCGGTACACTAAATCCATTGGATGTTGGATGTGTACTGATTGATATTTTAGTCTTAGATACATAATTTTTTTATTAGTTGTTATTGGGTTTGATCTAGCTGTCAGTAGCTGAGAGTACTCTCAGATCTTTACTTAAGTGTCTTTTTTGTTGTGGGATGTATAGATACACTACCATGTCCGGTCTGTGTTTTCTGTTTTGAATCGATCTGATGAGTTAAGCCCTTTTCAACTGATTTTTATAGTTTGTTCTTATGTTGTACTGTTACACCACTGTCCTAGGTTAGGGGGAGGGTTTGGCGCCAGCAAACTAGCCACATTCTGTATGTGCCTGTCCCAAGTCAGGAGCCTGTAGTTCAGTAGTTGTAGTTGGTTCATGTCTGTCATATTTGTTTTTTGCAAATTGTTTTGTTATAAATTAGGCTGTTAGTTTTCTCAAAAGAATTGTTTAATATTTTTCATGTCAGGGCCTTATATAGCCGACATTTTTTTCATTTTCATTGTTGAAGGCTGTATGGTTGCCTATAATTGCTTACATCCACTTCATTTGAACTTTGGTGGATAGTTGGCTCATTGGCAATCATACCACATCTCCTTATTTTTATTTGGTAAAGGAAACCCTTAAAAAGATTTAGATCAACAAACAAAATAGAAGATTGTAAGAACTTTTCAATTAATTGATAAATTCAATAACTGGTATTGTTATGGCGTTGATATTTATAAATTAAGATATCTATGTACACACCTGTGTCCTACCAGTATTATAGGTGGTGGATCTTCTCCATATAAAGCCTTCACTATATTGCCAACATCACTGAAGTCAAAAAGAAAGAATTAGCATGATTAGCTCATCTTATACTGTAAATGCAGAAATTATTGTGAGGTTTTTATTAATGCGAATAATGCCACTGGGTGAATTTGCAATAATAACTTGCATTTTGATATCTGATACATTCATTTGAATGCAGACTTTCTTGAGATCATAATAATAAATCTGGCATTTTTGTCCATTCTTCATAAATCGCAATAATAAATGAACGCAATAATTTCTTAATTTACAGTATTTGAATTCATTAAAAAACCTATTAGTTCCGGTAGTTATCTCAAAACATTTATTCTAGTCAGTGATTAAAAGATTAAATAATAAATGGAGAATGTGTCCGATGCCCTCGCTTGCATATAACATTATAAAGGGACAACTCAAAAACAATAAAAGTGACACTACCCAAATTTGTACTTGATCTGAGTTTTAAGGTAATAAGTATTGTGTATAGGTTTCATAATGTTTGGTTGGGGCAAACTTAACTTACAGAACAGAAACTAAAAATTTTGCAATTTTTCGATTTATAAAGGGGCATAATTCGATAATGATTAAAGTGACGCTACCAAAATTCAACTTGATCTGTGTTTTGTTGTAAAAAGCATTGTGTATAAGTTTCATAACATTTGGTTGAGGTAACTTAAGTTAGAGAACGGAAACTAAAAATTTTGCATTTTTTTCCATTTATAAAGGGACATAACTCAAGAACAGTTAAAGTGACCCCACCAAATTTCAAACTTAATCTTTATTTTGTGGTAATAAGCATTGTGTATATGTTTCATAAAATTTGGTTGAGGCAAACTTAAGTTCGAGAAAAGAAACTAAAAATTTTGCAATTTTTCCATTTATAAAGGACATAACTCTAGAACGGTTAAAGTGACACCACCAAAAATTCAAACTTGATCTGTGTTTTGTGGTAATAAGCATTGTGTATAAGTTTCATAACATTTGGTTGAGGCAAACTTAAGTTAGAGAACGGAAACGAAAAATTTTGTAATTTTTCCATTTATAAAGGGGCATAACTCTAGAACGGTTAGAGTGACCCTACCAAAATTCAAACTTGATCTGTATTTGGTGGTAATAAGCATTGTGTATAAGTTTCATAACATTTGGTTGAGGCAAACTTAAGTTAGAGAATGGAAACTAAAAATTTTGCAATTTTTCCTTTATAAAAGGGCATTACTCTAGAACGGTTAAAGTGACACCACCAAAATTCAAACTTGATCTGTGTTTTGTAGTAATTAGCATTGTATATAAGTTTCATAACATTTGGTTGAGGCAAACTCAAGTTGGAGAACGGAAACCAATTTTGGGACGTACGGACGTACGTACCTAGAGACGAACAAGGGTAAAACTTAATGTCCTCTCCGCTACGGCAGAAGCATAAAAAAACAAAACTAGTAACAATACTGTTTTGTACATATTAATGTGAATGATGCTGATTAAGATCACTGAAGTTTATGTTCAATTTATTCACAACTTGTCCAGAATAAGCAAAATTCAGAGTTGACATATGCACTCATCTATTGGTGGACACTGTGAGTTAGCCTCTTAATGTTTTTTTTCTGGTTTTGTTGTTATATAATGTTACTCTCTCACTGACATAGTCATACCATCTCAATGATCTCATGATCCTGTACAGGCTTAAAGTGGTTTTTGGTTTGACTTGAAAATAGGTATTTGTCTCACAGTAAATGACAGGACAGTTGTAATAGTAATGAGGTAACAAATGCTTACAAGGAAATAGGTTTAAATTCTATCGCGCTGTTTCCTAAGGAGATGTATTTACATAAGTTATTCTTGTTTCCGAATCTTGTATTTCTATTGTATAGTTGTAATTAGTGCACTTTTTAAAAAATAAAAAAAAATGTTTAAACTAAGCTGTTTTCTAGGAGATGCTGATTTATAAATCTGATATGACAATGAAACACAGCAAATCAACAGAAGTGATCCCAATTTATCAATATGGCTGCGTGCAGTTATGTAAAACAAAAATGTATCCTCTAAGAAAAGTAATACATACCTAGACATTGTTTCTGAACTAAGATCTCCATCGTCTGTTGTAACTGTGTCTCCTGTAACAGAAATGTGACAGGTTCAATAAAACATTCAACACAGAAACATGCTTTGCTACAATATCATAAAAAGAAATTTGAAAGTCTGCATTATTAATACACGTATATATAGGAGTGAGTATCACTTGGTCATTTGTTAGTACCCTGGTACTCCTAAAACTCACCTGATCAGAAAACTGACATTGCACAATGTAATCAATTTACATTTAGTATGACTATCATGACTATGAGACAGGCCTGACAATGTAGAAAATAAGAAAGTCAGAGGCAATCAGATATCAATGGTCTACCATGATTAGAGTACAAATGGAAAATGATAGGGAAGTAAAAAAACAAGCCTCTGAGTTGTTACAGAGCTACTGCTTGTACCTAAGATGTATGAATACTAATGCAACAGGTTACAAAAATCAATAACCTATTGTCAGCTTTTCTTCATAAACAGATCCTTTCACAAAAACTATAAAAAGTAAATACAAGGCACAACAGACCACATCAACCAACAACATCTGACTTATATGGGAAAATATCTAGATATACAAAGACAAACAACAACTAACAACACATAGTCCAGATATAAAATGTGGTAATGTTAAACCTGTTTTATGTGTACACAGTTCCCTCCCCTCCCTCCCCTTTACCTTTATAAACCATACATGTACGTCATAAAACTCACGCACACAATAAAACAAGAGTGCACATGCTGAAATGTCTCTCCTTCTTTACTAACCATTGATATTATATTGATAGTCCTAAATATAAAGCTTTACTACAACTATCACATAAACTTAACATGATCCAAGAAAATGAGGTCAAGGTCAAATAAACCAAACTGGAAATACATGTACACCTTACAATCATTCCATACACTAAATATGCTTTAAATATAGTTAACCTATTGCACATCTAAGAAACAAACTTAACCAGGAAGAATTAACATTGATCAATGAACCATGAAAATGAGGCCAAGGTAAGATGAACCCTGCCAGACAGACATGTACACCTTACAATCATTACATGCTTTAAATATAGTTTTATCTATTGCATATAGTATCTAAGAAACAAACTTAACCAGGAAAACTTATTGACCAATGAACCATGAAAATGAGGTCATAGTCAGATGATAATTGCTAGACAGACATATACACCTTACAATCATTCCATACACCAAATATAGTTGATCTATTGCATATAGTATTAGAAAAACAGACCAAAACACAAAAACTTAACTTTAACCACTGAACCAATGAGGTCACTGTCAGATGACAACTGCCAGTTGGACATGTACACCTTACAATCATTCCATACACCAAATATAGTAGACCTATTGCTTATAATATCTAAGATATGGACTTGACCACGAAAAGTTAACCTTGTTCACTGATCAATGAAATGAGGTTGAGGGCATGAGGACCTTACAAGGTACGCACATACCAAATATAGTTATCCTATTACTCATAATAAGAGAGAAATTAAGAATACTAAAAATCTTAACTTTTTTTTCAAGTAGTCACTGAACCATGAAAATAAGGTCAAGGACAATGAACATATGACAGACGGAAACTTCATAACATAAGGCATCTATATACAAAGTATGAAGGATCCAGGTCTTCTACCTTCTGAAATATTAAGCTTTTAAGAAGTTTGTTTATCTCCGCCGCCGGATCACTATCCCTATGTCGAGCTTTCTGCGACAGAAGTCACAGGCTCAACAAAAACAGCATATTGCAATTTCTAACAAGATGATTCCCACCTTGAGCAAGGAAATAAAAGTGGCACATAATTTGGAAAGCAGAGTAAAAATGTGTATGCTACTTCAGGTAGCCAGCTATGGTAGTTACAATTACTGGTTGAATCAATTTATGACGGGACTGTTGTTTTTATGTCACATTATGTTAAAGTGATTCAATATCATCTAGAATTTTTTTCGTTTTTTGTAATCTTTCTAACTAACATTAACCACAGATTGCTTTGTCTTTGATGTCTGACAGCCTTTTTAATAACTAGCTGGGCCTTGCCTCAGCCCTGGCAAGTCCTAAAAAGGCCCTCAGAATTCAGATTAATCTGGACAAAATCAAAATCCAATTGCAAGAAGGTGATAACTAGGTGATCAAACCATAAATAAAAGAGTATTAGTTCCAATTGTCAAAGCCACAATTCCCACCTCTTTTTCTCGATTGTGACATTACAGAATGAGACTTATCATCAAATTTGTACTTGCATTGAGCAACACAACAAGTGCCAAATGTAGAGCAGGATCTGCTTACCATTCCAGATCACCTAAGATCACCCCAGTTTTTGTTGGGATTCATGTTGCTCAAACTTAACACATGCTTTAGTTTTCTTTTAGTGTTTTGTAGACTGTTTTGTCTTCTCATTGATTTTTTATGCCCCACCTAGGGGCATTATGTTTTTGGGTCTGAGCGTCTGTTCGTCTGTCTGTCCCACTTCAGGTTAAAGATTTTGGTCACTTCAGGTTAAAGTTTTTGGTCAAGGTAGTTTTTGATGAAGTTGAAGTCCAATCAACGTGAAACTTAGTACACATGTTCCCTGTGATATGATCTTTTCTAATTTAAATGCCAAATTAGAGTTTTGACCCCAGTTTCAGGGTCCACTGAACATAGAAAATGATAGTGCGAGTGGGGCATCCGTGTACTAGGACACATTCTTGTTTGTTTTTTGCCATGGTGATGTCGGATTTTCTTTAACTTTTTTTTTTTATATCCCCTTGGGTATCTTCTGCCTCTTTTTTCTTAACAAGGCGTCAAAAGTAAGAACACAAGTTATATTATTGACATAACAAGAGCTCTCTATCAAAATAACCAAGTTACAATAGCATATAAAGTCAAATGGTAATTACAGCACATTGACTTGAGTGTGTAGGTAAAGGTAGTATCTTTGGCTAGCTTGCTTGCAAGCTGAACCATGAAATCATTATTAGCTAAGGTACTACCTTCTTTTGGGAGGATATAATAGTTGAGCTGGGAACCAATCAAAAGTAGGAACAGTATATAAATATTGTGAAACCAGATTTACAAGTTAGTTCAAAAATATGTTTTCAGGTTGTAGGTGTGTTTGATTTGTCAATTTCATTTCGATTACCTCTGTTCATTTATAACTAGATTGTTTATATATACATGTGTAATTCATTATAAAATTATGATTTAATCTTTTTAAAAAATCGCTTTTCATATCCTTATTATATATGTTTATATATATAATAAGGATATCATTATCTTTGATTTTGATGTGTATTTTTAGGGGAGTTCTACAGAAGGTGTAAAAATAAACTTAGTCGGGTCAAATCTTTGAGATGTTTCTCGCACCATGATTTTGTAAAAATATACCTTAACTTATAATGATTTCATGGTTCAGCTAGCAAGCAAGCTTACCAAAGATATTACCTTTACCTACACACTCAAGTCATTATGCTGTAATAGGCGATTCTCTTTCACTTGATTAACAGTGTTCAAACAGAGTTTTCACTAGTGATAACCTTAAAATGCAGGATGCAGAATTTTTACTCACCGTGACCTCTCAAATCCACTGCAGCACATCGACATGTGACTAAATGTGATATATTACTCTGAAAATAGAAAAAATAATGTATTTGTTTGTAAAGCTTCAAAACATTTCTCATATTACAAACCCAAGAGACATCACATTTGCATTCAATTTGACATTATAGTTACACAGATTGACTGATTGTTACTTGTTTAACGTCCAGTAGCAATAGTTTAACAGAAAAGTCCCATCAATAACAGAGCTACTTCTAAACCATATTTGTTTAAAGGCAAAAAAAACATTAGTGAACTACAAATACTTTATACTTACTGATACCAAGGCCCATGATAAAGCTGAGAAACCTCCTCCATGAAGAAAAAGTAGGACTGGTCCTTCCTTACCACATTCATACACTCTGAAAGTCTGTTATAAAGCTAAGGAAAATCTATAATAATTTTTAAATGTTTCCATTTAAGGAGTACATTAGATAACAGATTAACCACTCCTCCTTAATCCTGGGAAGATGGTTCACATAAATATCATAAATGTATACCTTATGAATTCTCTTAAATTTTTCAGTGATTTTTACTAGGAAGAGACAAATCAGGAAAAGAAACACAAGGAAAAATTTGACAAGATAATGACCAACTGAACTTGACAAAAACTACCAGATACATGTAAAAACCATAAAAGACACAATCTGCTTTATTGAAATCTTAAGATAAGGAAGAGGGTACCATATTGAAAATTCAGCATTTATTTTCAAATTTTTTAGCATTTATTTTCAAATTTCAAACTATTATTGTTTCTGAACAAATTTGTCCTTTTTAAATAGTAGCATTCAAATGTGGAGCAGTTTCTGCTAACCCTTTTGGAGCACCTGAGATCACTCCTGGTTTTTAATGGGATTCATTTTGCTCAGTCTTTAGTTTTTTATGTTGTGTTTTGTATTCTTGTGTTCATCTTTTGATCGTTTTTTTTGTTTTGGGCTGTGGCTTTGTCAGTTTGTTTTCGACCTGAATATCCCTTTGGCATCCTTCACCTCTCTTATTCAGACTATTTCTGTTAAATCTGTCAAATAATGTCAGAAATGTAATAATTTTTTAATCAGCTGCTTGTCTTTTCTGAAAGATTTTCCTTCAAATATTAGAATCTCAAAGTAATTCAACACTATTTAGTATGAAATAATGATAGTACTGATTAAGTTTTGTAATGTTTATGAATTATACATAAAAAGGATAACAGGTATTACCCAACCTATTGGACAGTACAATCAGATTTACTATGAATTATAAAGAAAAAACAAGATCAGTCCTACTTTATCACATTCATACACTCAAAAGGTCTGTAATTGTGAATACTGGTACAAGAAATTTATATTCTCTAACAGAAATAGGTTTGACTGATCGTAAACAACAAGTTTCAAGTAATTTTGAATTTTTGAATGTCTAATTTTATCAATTTTAACAAAAGATCCAAGTAAATGTAAATATGATTTAACATAAATGAGTTACAAGGATGAAAAAACTAACAATTTTTTCAGTCCCTGTCACTTTCTTTTAATCACATTTTAACCATTTTTTCTAAACATAACTATAGTACCTCTTCCTCTGAAAATGAATCTATTGGTCAATAAAACTACCTCTTCCATCATGTCCATACACTGAACATTTTCTGGAAATGGAAAATGCTAAACTTAGAAGCAGAAACTATTCTTGGCCTTGATATAAGTAATGATTGATGTTGGAAAAAGCTAGAGGATATAGAACCAAAAGTAAATAACTAAAAAAGGAAAATTAGTATCATGACAATAATGTACAAGAATGGCTGTGAATACATGTAATAGACATGACATGCGTGTACATGTGGGTTATGAAAAGAGTGTGTTTAATCAGGTGAAAATGCGTGTATTACAAACAAAATGCGTGAGTTGGCAACCATGGTTAACTTTCCACATGTTTCACTGTAACAAAACAATCAAATTTTTAAATAATACAAAGGATACATTTTCTTCTACTTTTACATCATGCTCATGTTCAAAATAATGGTCCCAGTAAACAGGAGTATAATCTCTTTTCCTAACAATTGGTCTCTTTCCATGGCCTCTGGAAAAAACAATTATCTTTAAAAGTTGCATTCACATAAATGAAGTATGCTACTAAAATTCATATAGAAAAGGTAATGTCTTTAAAGATGTAAACTTGCTGTAGGCTTTATAGGTGAATACAGGTTCACTTGAATAAGACAATAAATATGATAAATAGAAAAATATTGTCAGTAATCATCAATACAGCAAAACAAAATAAATGTTATGTTCAAGGTTACCGGATATGAATTTTCTTATCTAGGCCCCTCCCACTTAATTCAGTTCTGACCAAAGAAATTGTAAAGGGGTATTTTATTAATGCTGATTAAAACATACTAGACTAGATAAAAACCGTAAAATTGTGTGCACATGAATTGGATTTTCTTGTTTATTTTCAAAATTCTAATTGTCAATTAATAATAATAAAGAACATGTGTATTATTTTTGAATCTTTGTCAATCATACCCCATCACCTTAGTTTTATATAAAAAGTATTTCTAATGCTTGGGATTTTTCAAGCAACTCTTGATTTGTTTTGATCAACCCCTATGGCAAAATGTGAATGTCATATTGGTCAATGCATCTGGAAGTTTAACCATGTAACTGTTTTTTTATAATCGAATGGTTTAAATTTTTTCCACAGACTGCTCACAAATCAAACATTTCTTAGATCAGTGCGTCTGGATATATAGTTTGCAGGCAACAATAAACTGCCTGTAACAATAAAAATAATATTTTTGTTACCTGCAATATCCGAATGAAGTCGGGTCCCTGTCAGGAAATACATTTTGGCAATTAGCCTCGGAAATAACAATAATTATTTCTTATTGTTACTTTTTCCAGGTAATCGTAGCCAGTGCCGATAATGGGCGATATAATTTGATATGGACTTCTTCCCATTTCACAGGAAATCAAGAGCTGTGGGTATGTTGCACTTCTTTAAACCATGCAGAGCTCCAGATAAAAATTCACAAATTGGGTTGTTTACCCCATGTACCCACCAATTTTGATGTAATTGAGTGAAATAGTTTTTTTCAATTGCATTATTAATTCCAATTCACCTCTCAGGCAAATATCAAAATTGGGGTTTTCACCACCAAGCTCCTGAATGTATTGGGGTTTTTCATCATCTAAATATTGAACTGAGGCATGGCATAATGGTATCATATCAAACAAAGATGTTCTTCCCCTTTTATCTTAAATATGTTTTTTCAAGTATGTATGTCATGTATGTGATGACCATTTTATTTGGTTTAAATACTGACGAGCAATTTTTGTTTAATTTGTGTCTGGTTTGTTTCAACTGTTCCGCCAGTTTTGTATTTTCTGCCAACTTAAATAAACTGGTGTTATTAGTGGGGCAGTAACTGATTACCTTTCTAGAGCACATACGATCACCCCTGGTATTTCGTTGTTGGGGTTATTATAACAATCCGTTGACATTGCGTGTCTGCATTTGATTTTTTCTAGTATGATAAATAGTTTGAACAAAATGTTGTCAAGATTTGTAAGAATAAAGTGTGAGCTAGACTCAGCTTCATTATCATCACATTCAAAATCAAAGGCAAGTTTGGCAAGGTATAAATTTTTATTGATGATATCCATATGTTCAGCACTCTCATTTTGTCTTGTCACTGGTGACAGCTGAATATTTGGGGTCCATTTGTGGCCCCAAACACTTGTACACGTTGTAATTTTGCTTGTGGTAGACTTATTTTCAGAGCAATATATATATATATGAGACCCCCGTTTAATTGATATTAATTTAGCCATGGGTTCTTTTGGAGTTGTTGCCTTCTCCATTGAGGAATTGATGTGACTTGCATTCTGCCTCTCCGACTCATGGTCTGCCAAAGAAAATTTAATAAACTGGTCCCTTATGTTTACCGGGGATACAGCTTTAAGTAACAGATAATTCCTTTCAACAGGGACCCAGATCAAATACTTGATGTAATTTTTAGAATGAAAGTAGATTTTCTAACTCTGATTTCCTAATATTACATAAATAGATTTACGCTACAACAATTTATTGATAAGGGTAAACACATGATTGCGACAAGTAGGGTTTAGAACGCATAGTTTTGACATATAATTGGATTTTCCTTTGCATGAATTGGGTTTTTGAATGCTGCAATTGTCAATTGAATTAAGTTTTCAATTGTTTTTATTGCGTAATCACGCAAATACGCAGCTTATCTGGCAGTCAAGGGTATAACATAAATAAATTATTAGAGAAAAATAACATACCGGTACATTTGTTATTGTGGACTAAAAAATCAAAAAACTGTGATAACATAAGTGAGTTACATGTTTCAAAGGGGCAATATACATCCTTTGTTTTGTTAAATTGTATACAAGTTCTAATGACATCATTATTGTCTTTATGCATACTAAACTTTGGAAAGCTATAACAGTTCATAGTTTGCCAATCATGCTTAGTACACCTATGTTATTACAGAAATAAATGAGGAATGTGTCCATGTGACACAGATGATGCCCCCGCTTGCATATCATATAAAGTTATAAAGGGACATTACTGAAGAACGGTAAAAGTGATGCTACCCAAATTTGTACTTGATCTGAGTTTTGTGGTAATAAGTATTGTGTATAAGTTTCATAAAATTTGGTTGAGGCAAACTTAAGTTAGAGAACGGAAACGAAAAATTCAGCAATTTTTCCATTTGTAAAGAGGCATTACTCTAGAACAGTAAAAGTGACGCCCCAAAAAATCAAACTTGATCTGTATTTTGTGATAATAAGTATTGTGTATAAGTTTCATAACATTTGGTTGAGGCTAACTTAAGTTAGAGAATGGAAACGAAAAATTCAGCAATTTTTCCATTTGTAAAGGGGCATAACTCTAGGACGGTTAAAGTGACACCACCAAAATTCAAACTTGATCTGTATTTTGTGGTAATAAGCATTGTGTATAAGTTTCATAACATTTGGTTGAGGCAAACTAAAGTTAGAGAACCGAAACGAAAAATTCAGCAGTTTTTCCATTTGTAAAGGGGCATAAGGCTAGAACGGTTAAAGTGACGCCACCAAAATTCAAACTCGATCTGTGTTTTGTGGTAATAAGCATTGTGTATAAGTTTCATAACATTTGGTAAAGGCAAACTAAAGTTAGAGAACGAAAACCAACTTTGGGATGTACGTTCGTACGTACATACGTACAGACAGACAAGGGTAAAACTTAATGCCCCCACCACTACGACGGGGGCATAAAAATATGCCTGTAAATACTAAAGGTTGTTATTACAGCTTCTCTACATCACTTCAAAGCCTTTGCTCAGACATATATCATGCTTAATCACAATGTATTTTAATTTATTGCAAAAAATAATGATCAGAGCATGTAATGAGGTTTTGTTATTACAGATAAGTTTATCGCTTAAAAGCCTTGTCTCATTGATTTACCATGGTTGATAAAAAATGTATTAATTTAATTGGTAAATTAGTTATCAAGGCTATGTATTAAGTTACTGCGCAAAGTTTCAAAAATTCCCAAGTGCCCACTAAAAATTAAAATATTTATGATTTATTTAACAAATAACAAACATATGTTACTACCACAGTACCAGTAAGGGGTACTACTTGTACAAGTTATTTTTATTTACTTGAAGAAGTAAATATTGATATACTTATATAAGTAAATTTGTAAGATACTTATACAGGTGTATTTTATTTGCTTGTATAGGTAAATTATTCAAAGGCTTAGTTATGTCCCTTAGACATTCAGATTTTTTTACTTATACAAGTAAAAAAAGTCATACTACCTTCTTTTCTTGAATTTCTCAGGACTTCTTTGCTCTAATAGAATTTTCAATTGTCTGTCCTTTGCCGATGTCTTTACTAATCATTTAAGTGTAATTTCATTGACAATGAAAATCTCATTTGTCTGTTATCTTCAAAACACTGCTCATTTACAAGCCTCCAAGGGGCAATTTTTGAAGGCCTTGCGCAATTACTTAAGATCTTTGCACAATTAGTTTTTTTGTTGAATTAATGAGATGAAACGTTGAACTCTGATCAAAATTTATGAGCTAACCAGAGAAAAATTGTTTAAGGCATGTTTTTACATCCCAAAACTTGAGAATTTTAGGGATTGTAAAAAATAAACAGCTGCGCCATGAGCGCATGATACGCCCGTCGTCTTGTGTGAGAATTTTTATGCAATAAGCATAAATAGTTTCTGACATACGGCGTGACATGCGAAAACCCCCCTTTTTTTTTTAACAAAAACTCAATATCTCTAAAATATAATTTTGAATCAAAACCAAAAAGTATACAGATCTTTAGATTAATATAACTAAGAAGTGTGTAAAATTTTAAGCAATAATCATAAATTGTTTTTGAGATACGGCGCGACATGTGAAAACCCCCTTTTAAAAAAAAAAAATCAATAGGGGTAATTCGCCTAATTGCGGACAGTTTCTGTATTGCCCGGAACCGAGCGATCCATTACGATAAATGCGGTAAGGTAGATGGTACAACTGCATCTATAGTCAAGAGGGGTTGCAAATGGATGATTTCTCGCTATTTCAAGCTCGTTTAATTTCATTGGTTGGTATATAATTCCGAAGAAACGCTAACATGTGAAGTAGTGTTGATGCGGACAGTAGGTGTATAAATGCGGACAGCATGTCTTTCAAATGCGGACATCTGTTATAATCACTGATATAGGACTGATTTTTCATGTTAATGTGAATTTTAACTTACATTAATTGTTACTTACTGTACCACATGTCACATCTCAGAGATTGCAGTTAAAGTAAAATAATAAAGATCTTATTGATATCATTATTTTCGTATTTTTTGTATTGCTCTAACACACTTTAATACGAGAATACGTATAAAAAATGGTTTCAAGAACAAAAAATGTAATAAAATGTCAACATATACAGAAGTACACACACGTTCCGTCATCATTATGTGCAGTGGTGGATTCAGGGGGGGGGGGGGGGGGGGGGGGGGGGGGAGGGGAGGATGTCACATGTGGAGCAGGATATTTGTTAA